ATCACTGCCTGTGCTCCCTTGGGCTCTCTCAATAGGTGACAGCTCCAGACCTCATCTCACCTATTCCGCATGGAAGTGGCCAAAATATAAACACTCTGCATGATAAATACGGAAACAGGATGACAGTTACTGAAATCGTATACCTGTGCTAACAGTTAATCAAAACTTATTGCATATAATCATCCCACTGGAGGAGAGGAGGGGGTTTAAGGTGAACACATTAAAGTCTCTTCAGGGTTTATAGCTCATAGTAATAATAAGACACCCATCGCAAAAATAAAATCAACTTGTTAAATTATCTGTTATAGGAAAAACTGTGTGTGTATATATATATATATATATATATATATATACAGTGGGTACGGAAAGTATTCAGACCCCTTTTAATTTTTCACTCTTTGTTTCATTGCAGCCATTTTCCAAAAATCAAAAGAGTTCATTTTATTTCTCAGTAATGTACACTCAGCACCCCATCTTGACAGAAAAAAACAGAAATGTAGAAATTTTTGCAAATTTATTAAAATAGAAAAACTGAAATATCACATGGTCATAAGTATTCAGACCCTTTGCCGTGACACTCATATTTAACTCAGGTGCTGTCTATTTCTTCTGATCATCCTTGAGATGGTTCTACACCTTCATTTGAGTCCAGCTGTGTTTGATTATACTGATTGGACTTGATTAGGAAAGCCACACACCTGTCTATATAAGACCTTACAGCTCACAGTGCATGTCAGAGCAAATGAGAATCATGAGGTCAAAGGAACTGCCTGAAGAGCTCAGAGACAGAATTGTGGCAAGGCACAGATCTGGCCAAGGTTACAAAACAATTTCTGCTGCACTTAAGGTTCCTAAGAGCACAGTGGCCTCCATAATCCTCAAATGGAAGACGTTTGGGACGACCAGAACCCTTCCTAGAGCTGGCCGTCCGGCCAAACTGAGCTATCGGGGGAGAAGAGCCTTGGTGAGAGAGGTAAAGAAGAACCCAAAGGTCACTGTGGCTGAGCTCCAGAGATGCAGTCGGGAGATGGGAGAAAGTTGTAGTAAGTCAACCATCACTGCAGCAATCCACCAGTCGGGGCTTTATGGCAGAGCGGCCCGACGGAAGCCTCTCCTCAGTGCAAGACACATGAAAGCCCGCATGGAGTTTGCTAAAAAACACCTGAAGGACTCCAAGATGGTGATAAATAAGATCCTCTGGTCTGATGAGACCAAGATAGAACTTGTTGGCCTGAATTCTAAGCGGTATGTGTGGAGAAAACCAGGCACTGCTCATCACCTCTCCAATACAGTCTCAACAGTGAAGCATGGTGGTGGCAGCATCATGCTGTGGGGGTGTTTTTCAGCTGCAGGGACAGGACGACTGGTTGCAATCGAGGGAAAGAGGAATGCGGCCAAGTACAGGGATATCCTGGACGAAAACCTTTTCCAGAGTGCTCTGGACCTCAGACTGGGCCGAAGGTTTACCTTCCAACAAGACAATGACCCTAAGCACACCGCTAAAATAACGAAGGAGTGGCTTCACAACAACTCCGTGGCTGTTCTTGAATGGCCCAGCCAGAGCCCTGACTTAAACCCAATTGAGCATCTCTGGAGAGACCTGAAAATGGCTGTCCACCAACGTTTACCATCCAACCTGACAGAACTGGAGAGGATCTGCAAGGAGGAATGGCAGAGGATACCCAAATCCAGATGTGAAAAACTTGTTGCATCTTTCCCAAAACGACTCATGGCTGTATTAGATCAAAAGGGTGCTTCTACTAAATACTGAGCAAAGGGTCTGAATACTTATGACCCATGTGATATTTCAGTTTTTCTTTTTTAATAAATTAGCAAAAATTTCTACATTTCTGTTTTTTTCTGTCAAGATGGGGTGCTGAGTGTACATTACTGAGAAATAAAATGAACTTTTTGATTTTTGGAAAATGGCTGCAATGAAACAAAGAGTGAAAAATTTAAAGGGGTCTGAATACTTTCCGTACCCACTATATATATATATATATATATATATATATATATATATATATATATATAAACTGTGTTAATTAGAGTGGAAAACACCAATTTCAGATAAGATTTAATGAAGTGATAATGTTTGGACTTGGCCTTTTACACCATACACAAACTGCATTGGTAAGACTATGCCAAGACTACAACACAATGCAATTTTGCACATAAGCTCACCAAAAGGAATAGAAATACAAATTTACATACATACCGTTAGTTAAACCAATCATCGTTGATAAGGTAAAGTCAGATGCTCTAGTGGATGGTAACATTGTATTACTGCTAGAGTTCCAGTGGGTTTGATCCACATATGCTGAAGGTTCAGCAAGAAGAAACCAAAGGGCAGAAATAATGTCTGCCTTAGTGGGTCAAATTAACTATATCAAAGGCTATGGTGAAGATTTTATATTTTCCACAGTAAGACAGATGTAAAGAATTGCCATGAAACCCACGAGACAAGAGGCTCTGAAACTACTCCGCCACAATTATTTACTGCTGCGAGTGACAGTTCTGCTTTGTAACAGAAATGTATTGCCTGTTAATCCTCCATCTGTGGTGGCATCTGTTTCATATTGTGCTCTCTCTCCCTCTCTCTGTTTGTCAGCGTTTGGCATCAACACATCTCAAATGTTATTTTTATCTGAACACACAAAGAGAATTAGGGAGGAAGCCTATTTCTGTATGTAAGGGTTGTTTCATTGTAGCAGCCAATTTCAGATGAAAATTTTTAATTATATTTATTAAAACGGTGAGTAAGGACGACTGTCAATTAGACAAAAACGTGTTAGCTCCGAGAATAAATGACTGCCCTCCTACTCTCATTATTGTGAGCTTCTCTGAAAAGAAAAGGAAGCTCTTCATCTGTCAGTGTCGGGTGGAAGCGCATATAAAAATCACTTGTGCTAAAAGCCAGGGTCAGTGTGAACCTTATGTCTTCCATGTTCCATCTTCCACAAGGTCAGCCTCCTGTCAAGTTCAATGACCCTGGTCAAGAGTCAAGATTATTGTCACTGGACACATTGTGTTTTGGATGGATTTCCATCTGTGAATGGGACATGAGGGTCACGGACGAGACACTTCAGATGTAATTTGATAGCAACAGTGTGCTTCACTATGTGCAGCTTTCATTCAACAACTTGCCTTGGATTGCAGCGTGGTAGTCCATGCAGTCATAAATTTCAATCCAAGACATAAAACTGTCCAATCGAGACCTCACAACTACTTTGTTGAGGTGTTTTTCTCTCTCTTCTGCTTTTAAAGTCACCATAATTACATTTTAAATTCACATTTTATTTAATGCAACAATGGCTTATTTCATGGTTTACATATTTTTCTTGGTTAAAAGTGGCACACCATATTTCACCTGCTATACCAAAGGCACTGTGTACTCCAACATAAACTAATAGTAAAATTATAATCGTCTCTCATATGCTGGAAGCCCTACATAGATTTTGCCTTTAAGCATGGTCCAGATTGAAGAGTAACGGAGCCTATGAATTCAAAAGGTGTGCTAGACATGCTAAAAGAACAAGAAGTGGGATTCACCACACACTATTTCACACATACTGGACTCAGAGCAGCCAGAAAATGAATGTCAGAGGTATGTGCCATTCAACAAACCTATGCATTTATACGCGCTTAACCTTCACTCAATACACTGGGGGATGGTGCACTGTGCCAACCATGAAATTAACTATTTCTGAGACATATCAGCTTCACACCAATGCAGCTCCAAAGGCTACAAATTCTAGTTAAGCCAAGCTAGCGGTTTCCTCGTTTCCACTCTTTGTACTAACCTAAGCTGGTGGTAGTTTAACTACCGTACAGGCACGAGTGGGGATCTAACTCTAGGCAACAAAGCAAATAAGCGTATTTTCCCAAATTGTCTAACAATTTCCGATACTATAAGTAACCCCACAGTATAGAAATACTATGCTACTGTACATTTTGCTGCTACAATGTAAACTATCTTTTGTAGCTTTTACCCATTTCCCTTTCTGTCATTTTTCAGAGTGAGCCCATGTTGGCTTGCTGGTAAAGATGAATTGTGACATGTTGGAAATGAGAGTTAGACAAAAGGATGTGAGTTTTTTAAATATTTGCTGTAGGTCATATAAGGTTCATATCATTGCAAGCTCATTAATGAATGAACTGACTTAAATAGTCACAGCACCAATTAACCAGAAAGTTTTCCCATATAACAGAGGAAGTGACAGGAATGAGCCAGGCTTAGCCATATTAGCAAGGCGTAGCTGCCCGGCCTTCCTCTCGTGTGTTATCATCTAGTCCTGGTGTGTGTTAGTATTGTAGCACTCCATGTCATTACACTGCAGACAAGAGTAGAGAGATGTGAAGAGGTCAGTTTTACTATGCAAAGCTGTAAACCTATTTTATGGTGACTTTCATGAGGCTCTTGCCACCCTGTCAACTCTTTATCTCCTCAGCAACCGACAGACCACAGCTCCACCACGACCTCTGATCTCACTCATATTTGCTATTTGCAGTCTCGTCTTTGAATTTAAGTCCAGCTGGAGTCCAGGAAGTTGAAAGTGCAGTCTTTGAAGTTGGGTGTGATTAACACATAATAACTACTCTACTTTCCTTTAAACTAATCATGCTCAAAATGGCCAAATTTTCAATTGCATAAAAAAATATTCACAGGCTGAGCTGGCTTTCTGTGACAGCATTCTAAAAAGAAGCTACTAATTTATGTGGCCATATCCCTGTGAATTTATAGACCTTGGTGCATTGATGTTACTGCTTTCAAAGGTGACTAATGACAATGAGGTGAGAAGTGAAACTTGTCATTAGAGTGAAGAATTTGAAAGGGGAAAGCTGAGAGGGTCAAGCCTTGTGTGAAAGGAAACAGGGATGGTGATTGAAACTGCCAAGTAAAACTTGAGCTATGGGGTTGTGATTAAACTGAAAAGACAGACATTATGGTCCTCCTATCATTTAACACCTTGATTGCATGTCTGCCATGTCCCTGTCAGACTGACTCCTTCATCAAAGGGCTTTGTCTGGTAAGAGTACCCCATTTGGCCCGTCACTGGAGAGCAGATGGGACAGCAAAAAAAAGAGGTCAGTAAAAATATCCAAAAAGAATATTTCTATGAGGCCTTGCAGAGTTATTCCACAACTGCGCGAGATAAAGGGACAGTGTGACTGTTCCTCACAGCACCTCCGATTTTAAAATATTTTACAGCAGTCAATGCAGACTATTATCACAGAGACTGTGCAGACTGTGGTAACTGTAAAAGTAAAAAAACAACAACTCGTAACTGTGATTTCATTTCGAGTGTCCCCTTCAGGTCAGAATTTCAATTTGTTCAATAGCTGCAAAACTATTAACATTATCATCAGCATGCTAAGACGCTAAACTAAGATGGTGAACATAAGCATGTTAGCATAGCCATTGTGAGCGTGTCATGCTGCTGTTAACATTTCGCTCTAGCCTGGTTGTATACTTAGTAGTCTTGTCAAAAAGTGGATACCTAATTTTTGGATTCTGCACACAAGTAGTTTGAGAAGTTCATATTTCCATGTTGTTCTGCTGTTGTTAACAAAAGGTCTCTATTTTCTTGTTTTGAACAGGCTCCACTCAACATCAAGGAGCAGCGGGAATACAAATGTTTTTCCACCAGAATTTTAGGCCTGAACAGAACAGAGGGTGAAACTAATACAAAAATAACAGTTTTTGGTTAAGTATTCATATAAAATGGAGATTAGAAGCCCATTTTGAATCGAGTCAGGAAGCAAATTATGTCCAAATCGCTTCTCCTCTTAGTGCTTTCAATAAAATGCCCTACAAATTGGTAAAGGTTATGAGGTGCCACATCAAAATGACAGAATAATTATGGCAAAGGCTATTTCATTGGTATAAAAAGGATTCTAAATAAAGAGAGGCCACAGAGGTGGACTCTCTGTCTGATGTAGCAGATCTTATTTTTTATACTGCATTCTCTCAAAATAATAAAGTAGATAACAGCTTGCTTGAACATTTAAAAGAAATTTAGGACATAATTTATTTTACACTTTAGGCTTACATCTTCATTCTCTTTGTCAGTGTTCATAAAGCTCAGACACCCCATTTTGGTCCCCACCCAGGCGGTCTGGCCCTCCTAGTGACCCTAGTGTACCCCGTCTGACTAAACAATGATGCTGGGTCACCTCCTCATGGCCCAAGACAGATGGCTGGCTCCTCTCTGCGGTTTCCACCATGGCCAAGGTCACCTCCCCTGCTCTCGGTGCACCTGCACCCCAACACTCCCATCATCGTCTTTACTCCTGCTACACCTAGCACACACCACTGCACAAACCCTTCCCCCAACTCACCCCTCCCATGTAAACAGAGGGGAAAATGAACCATTTAGATTCTGCTGGTGTGTGTTACACCATGCTGAGGACTACATCCAACCTGCAAGAACACACCTGTAGTACAAACACAAAACACTCACTGGGAGATATTTTTCGACTGAAACTCGACTACTACTGAAAAGCAATTAGGTTTTCACTAATGAAGACATGATATTGGCAAAAGAAGACAGCAGAATGGAAAAGTAATGAAAACGCTTGTATTATGTTAAATAATGACAAATACCTTCCATGTATATCCCTGAATTTACAAAATACGCTTCGTTCAAAACGTTGCCATTCAACTTCTAAATCAACATTCGAATGCAGGTTATTAGAGGTGAAGAGATCTCGTGCCACAAGATCTCACGAGATCAAACCATGACAAGATCTCTCGTCAGGTTAAAAGCTGTCTCGTGAAACTCACACAACTGACATTTTTCACATGCAGTCACGCCATACATCAATTTTACTCAAGCAGTGAAAAACAAATGTATAACTGATAACGCCGACTTGCAAAGCAAATCAACTCTGCCCAGCTGATGCGACACTGGCATCATGCCATGATAGTAATCAAGTGAACCCTGTCTCGCACTGTGAGTCCAGACAGTTGTGACAGAGTGGTAATGTAACTGATATAGTTGCATAAATGTTAAACATCTAAAAAATTAAGCACAACCTTGCTCTGTTTGGGACTGTGAGCTGCAGTTAAAGTTAAAATGTGTGTGGATTTGTAACAAGGTTTCAGCCCGATCAGAAATGTTGTCAGTTAGTTTCGGTGTCCACCTCCTTGTCTTATCCTAACATGCAGTCCTAAACTGTGTCAGTCAAACAATCTGAAGTGAATACAACCGGCAGTGCGCAAATGTAATGCACAGCAGAGTATAGGGCAGGTAGACTAAACATTTTTTCATTAAATGATTACGTTATGGTTTCTCACATTGACATGCATTTATGAAAATGAGCAGAAAACCTGCTGAAACACAGGAGCTATTAAAGCCCAGGAGTTTATTGACTGAATTAAAATGAAATAATTTGTCATTGAGGTGAAAAGGTGCCACATGCACATTGAAAGAGGTTACTTCACCAAACAAAAGACACAGAAGAGGAGGGAAGAATAAAACATGCCGGCTTGTGTGCTGACTCAGCAGGGCTGATATTACATGAGAAAAGCATCTACAGGAGAATACATATCTGAAAGAAATACAAAATACCTGACAGCCTTACTGCATTATATTCTATTATATTTTGAATTGTCACCTACAACCAATTTTGTGTTTCCCTTTACATAAATTATTAAACATTTCACCAGAATGCAAGAAATTACTGTACTATAACTGTTTAAAGCTCAAAACGTTATGTTACGAATACAAAGCTCTATTTCTCTGACTAACCTGCAAATGCTGCTCACTTTCTTTATTTCACCTCAAGCTTGCTCAACCACCGCTGACCTCGAGCCAACTTTGAATGACGTGTCCACAAACTGCAATCTAAAAATCCTACTCAAATAAGTTGTTACAAAAAACAAAAATCATATCACTTCATTCAAATAGAGGATGCTGTCCGAGGATAAAAAAAAAATGTTTAGGGTGACATTTGAATGCTTCGAATGGTACAGCCCTACCACAATCAATTGGCACCTGTGTCATTCTATAAAATGGTCCACAGCAGACCATTGGAGTAGTATTGACAAGAGGCTGTGATCCATGAAACAGTCTACCTGTCACCATCAAATCAGAGTCCCTCCCTCACCCATTCAATACAGCAAACCATCAGATCAATGTCCACAGACACAGTCCTACCCCCTGCAAAACTAATTATCTGAACATTTTATACTGTCAAGACTCCTCCACGCTTTGTTTATGCAGGCTGCAATTAGTGAAGTAGTCAATAAAGAAACGGGGAGGTACCGGTGAAGGAGGAACAATAGCAGAAGGTAAGAGGTGGAAAGCTGTCACTGCAAAGGAAGCTGCAGGAGGCAGGAGGCACGAAGGCAGGGCTGAATGTGTGACAGAGCAGTCTGTACACTGGGAGTTTTTCATGACAAGAAAATCAAACACGGACTGTTCCTGTGAGTTTCTCACATGTCAAGTCCGAGTGAGGTGCCAAAGTACTCCGTTGAGTGTGATGCTTCTGGGTCTTTATATCACTTCAGCACGCACAATTAAGTTGCTGTGAATATTTATGACTGGTTTAAAGACATCTTTCTCAGTCCCCAAGGTGTCAGAAAGTGGCTGTAATCAGAAGTCAGAGGAGTCTCCTGCTCTCTGTCGATAGACTGCTTGTCTACAGAGAGCTGTAAAAACCAGAGCGCCACTCTTTTTCTAAAGGTCTGGTTAAGTAGCAGAAAGCTATATTACAGCAGCAGCTCAGCTCAGGTTCTCATACTGCTATTGCCATCATTAATGCTGAATATACACATAAAAAGAATCTTCTCAGTTCAGCGCAGTGTAGTTTCTTCAAGTTTCTCAAAATGATACACTATTAAACAGACTGCGAGGATAAAAGATTATTGATACAATGGCATCATTAGTTTGGATATAAACATTTCAAACCTTAGGCTATAAATTTTACTTAAGAAAATGTCATGGTAACACTGAGTCCCTGTATTTAGCATGTATAAGCAGTATACAAACTGTCAAATGGTTTATAATGTAATTTTAAGCAGATGGACATTAAGTGATCAGTATTGTACAGCAATTTTAACTTTTCACAGGAAAACATAATTCACATTACTACAACTGTGGTTTACTAAATTATCATTCATTCTTTTTATACATCGGTCTCAAATTATGGGTGCCCACAACTGGAGCTAAAGTAGTTGATACATACATTAATAAACTCATATCTGCTTACAGATTACACACACACACACACACACACACACACACACACACAAACACACACACAGGGGACTTAAGGTAAAGTGTTACCATGTTCATTTAACAGACATTACTGGATGTGAAACAGTCAGTACAAATACTAACAAGTGCATGTTTGTGCATGTGTGTTTAATGCATTTCTGCTTGAGTGCAACACAGCAGGGGGAACAGAGCATAAAAGATTTAAAATCAGACTTTTTGTCCCACAGGGATATAATGATTTTTTCTGTTCATGGTAGGTCTAAAGGCTACCATCTGTCAATGGAGTTATTTTGAGTTGGTGTGAAGCTCGTCCATGTGCTTGAAATTCTGGTGGCAGATTAACATAGGGGATACACATCTGCAGAGATCTCCAAATCTCTACTATTATTATTATTATTATTCTCATCTGATAATTCAAAGGCAGTTGGTGTGTCATTGAACACTGTAATGCTCGTGAATGGTAACTGTAACACTTAAATGTGGCAGAGCCCATAGATTTTCATGTTAACAGTAGAGCAGTCAGCGTTTAATATTCCTTGAGAGAGCTGCCAAGGCTGGGCCACCAGCTTGTAAAATCTATAGCCGTACACATTACATATCTTCATGTGTAGGCTTGTCTTTAATTAAATTAAAACCTTTATTTCCCTCAGCTGAGAGTTGATTTCCTCCTGGTATAATTATGCGGGTCAAATGTGTGCACTGGTGTGTTTGGTCACTGGCAGATGATCTATCCTGGGATCATTGATCCATGACCATGGTAGCCAAGAGCATTCATTACCTTGGTTTACATCAGATTAGGGCATACAAACAGTCACCCTGATGACTCTTAACTAATATTTATCAGAGGTTATCTATATTGTTTCAGCATTTAAAAGTTTGACTAATAGAGCAGTGTATTTTGCAGTTAGGACAAGGAATATAAAAGTACTTATCTGGTTATGTACCTTTGAGGATGGAACAAAACACTTTTGCAGCCAACAGCTTGTTTATCTTGCGTATCTTGTACAAGATCAAACTGTAGGTGTTTTGATTGAAAATGACCAGTGATTTCATGCTTCAAAAACCACAGGTATTTTTATCTGTCTCATTGGCATTCAGAACTGGGGGATTACATAAACATATTACGAAGAATGAGCAAGATGTTAAACAGAAATGCCAATGATTTTTGGGCAGGCTGAACACAGTTCACTGTATTACTGCAGAGCATTAGTATTAAAGAAACCAGTATAAAAAGCTTGTTTCAGCCTTTTGAAAAGAGCTTTTTATACTGGTTTCTTTAATACTCTTGTAGTCATCCTACAAACTTTTAAATTACAAAGCTTGCTTTCTTCTTATGAGTAAAAAAAACAGTAAGCTACATACCAATCATTTATACTAAATTTCAAAACTAATCTTAGACACCCACCCCCCTTTTAATTGTTTTCTTTCATACATACTGAGTAAACAGTGTGTGGCTAGCTGACTAACTCCCACTGCCCTACAGGTATGCAGACAATTAGGAAAGTCTCGCTGTTTGGTATTATTCCCTGCAGCCATTCTGCTGAGGGCAGGAGAGTGGCAGTGCCTTTTAATCAGCAATGACGTTGGAAGCTCTCATGTGTGACCAAAGCCCCCCAGACTATCTAAAATAAGTCAAGAAAAATAAGTGTTAGTCCCATACTCTTCCACAATCACACTGCTTTCCATCTCTTCCTCTCATTTCTTAGCCTTCCTTCAATTACTCTGTGGCATGAGGTTGGCAACTAACTTTTCAATGACTCAGTTTTATCTCTTGACAGCAGCCAAGGCTTGCCAAAGTGTGGAAAACACAAGATCTGGTCTCAAATGCAACCTTGGAATGAGCCCTTATCAAATTCCAGGTATTTCTCTTTGATAGATTCAAAAACATAAAACTTCCATACAAGTGTTTGAGACCATCTTCCATCCTTCCATTTATCCCCATTTATTGACATTCAGGATCTTTGGTAAACAACCTGTACGGGTCACTTGACCATCAGAGGGACAAGAACGCATTCTATTATCTTCCCCAGCCATAAGGAAAAGTGCTGTGTGTTTTCACTCTCTCAAATTAAGTGCCATAAAACAAATCACAAATGAAGTCAGGTTTAATTTGTTTTGGAACTAAAACAAAGGGTTCCCCAAATCAAACAGTTTCCTGACATCCCTGGCACAGCAGAAGGAAGCGTCCTCCTCCCCTTATCTTAGAGGAAGACACTCTTTGTTCTGAACACAGTGGTAAGAATCTTTGACAACATCAAAGAGCTGCAGAGCATTTCTCCAACCGGAGTGCTAATGAGAGACGAACATCCTGCACGAGTGTGATTACAGCAGCTTCATTAAGGGGTGAACTGATATCGTGCGTTCAGCTCTGGAACTGCTGCCTTTGGGAGATCGTCTGCTACGCAGAACTCACATTCACTGAAGATCATGAGTGTCAGCAATGAGTGACTGGGCTAAAGCACTTCTATGATGACTTTTGATCTTGTGAAAAGCAATAATGAATGGTTTCTATTGTACAATCTTAAGAAGATACTGCATGCTCGTTGACAGATTACATGTTAAATCTAAATCTTACTAAGACTGACAGGAACTTTGGTGCAAATTCTCCTCAGGGTGAACAGATCCAGTGTATGCAGCTGAGCGGTTTATCATTGCCTTGAGAGATATTCACTCAAAACAAGAGAGGAAAGGGAAAAACAAAAGGGACTCCGTTAGAATTACATGTCACAAAACATAAACCCAACAAATCACCAGAAACCAACTGAGAGCAAGAAAGTGGGGAAATGAGAACAACTTGACCCTGAATTTCATTCTTTCACCTAGGGACACAAATTTCCACCACAGTCTTCAGCAGCCATGCATCACAGCATCTAGCTGCTGTATTTACAGTCTGCCCACTGATATTGTTATGGATTATTCTGTAAAACTGGTCTTTGTAATTTATTGTAGTTTATGGTTTGATTAATTGCCTGACCTTTTTGGCCATGCGTGCACGTGTGTGTGTGTGGTGGGGGGCAGGAAATAATAATTTTACACATCGTGCCATTTTTACATATCTAATCACAAAAGAAGAGAAAACAGAATCTAAAAAAATACTGTTACTGAGTTACAGGATGAGTGATCA